ACCGCATTCTTTTAATACACGCGGTACTTTATAATAATATGGTCGTCGTCCAACCAAGTTTCATATGAATTATGGTGTGTAAGTACAAGGCAATGTTTGGATTTTTTTAACTGTTACAGTCATGTACCGCTGCAATGTTTTGTCGACAGATCTTATAGATTTTGGAAGTGTTTTAGTTTTACATTTCAAACTCAACAAATATATTATGTCATTGAATCTAGACGATCTGATTGAAACTATACAGTACACAGCTTTAAAACTTCAAAAAAAAAAACATTCTTCTAATATAAGATTTACAGTGATTTCAATGAATATTTTTCAAACATACGGTTTTTTAAAAGAAACTGGTCTGTTTTTCGATTATTTTATAAACTTAATGTCAATGGAGTATAAAATTGTTTTGTCGGAACTTAATTGTTTTGTGTAGTACTATTAAGTACCACATAATTATTTCCTCGATACCTATGATAGTATAATAATTTTTTAATTAAACTATATTGATATTTTTTTATTATTCCTACACGTGACATTTTAGTTGGAATATTAAACAATTAATAGTGACCATTTACTCTCATGAAAACCGTCTAGGTCAGAAATCTGGTGTATATACAAATTACTCGTTAATTTCTATGATGTACATACACAATTAGTTCATTAGCCCAAGTCGATGAAGACGGTGATATTAACAGAGTTCTTGGCCAGCGCACATGGCACATTTATGTTTAGTGTATTAACCTCACATTCACATCGAGTCTAGACGTGTGCTCCTTTTAAGTAATAATAATTAATTTGTAAATACTCACAATAAAGATAAGATNGACACGTGACATTTTAGTTGAAATATTAAACAATTAATAGTGACCATTTACTCTCATGAAAACCGTCTAGGTCAGAAATCTGGTATATATACAAATTACTCGTTAATTTCTATGATGTACATACACAATTAGTTCATTAGCCCAAGTCGATGAAGACTGTGATATTAACAGAGTTCCTGGCCAGCGCGCACATGGCACATTTATGTTTAGTGTATTAACCTCACATTCACATCGAGTCTAGACGTGTGCTCCTTTTAAGTAATAATAATTAATTTGTAAATACTCACAATAAAGATAAGATTTTTAATAGTTCTAATGTAAATATGTTATAACTTGACCAGATCAGGCTAGAACATATTTAGGACTCGATGAATTTTTATTTGTCTACGGTCGTCAACGTACAGATTACTGTTTTTATATTGTTTTGTTATGATATTGAATAGACAAGTAGAGAATAACTATTTGTCCGAGCAGCCTCCAATTGGCTCTGATAGTAAATATAGTATTGTAGCTTAAGTGCTGTGTCATTGATTTTTCGTCGTTGAAATTGAATTGCATCAGTTTTTTACATTTAATGTACTCAAACTACTAAGATGTACATGTTATAGTACACGACAGAAAATTTCGTGAATAAATATTTTATGCAATAGCGACCTCAGCACGATTTATATTTGTCTGGTGTCTTTCTTAAAAATAAGTTTTTGTCAACCTTAACCGGCGTTTTGGAGATATTTTAGTCTTATGATTAACGATGAGGTATCGTCGATGTCCNAGATTATTAGCTCTGATAGTAAATATAGTATTGTAGCTTAAGTGCTGTGTCATTGATATTTCATCGTTGAAATTGAATTGCATCAGTTTTTTACATTTAATGTACTCAAACTACTAAGATGTACATGTTATAGTACACGACAGAAAATTTCGTGAATAAATATTTTATGCAATAGCGACCTCAGCACGATTTATATTTGTCTGGTGTCTTTCTTAAAAATAAGTTTTTGTCAACCTTAACCGGCGTTTTGGAGATATTTTAGTCTTATGATTAACGATGAGGTATCGTCGATGTCCCGCAGAGGTTCGTGTATTTTATATTTTAAAACTTAAAGATTCCAATTTTGTACAAGTCCATGTCGTCGGATTTGTTTATTATTCAAACCGCGACGGTTTACAGATGAAACGGAACGATAACGTTAAAAGTTATGATTTTCCATTCCCCGTGATTTTAGACGTGTGTCCTTCCATGAAGATAAAAATAAATTTATTTGGCAGCTAGAATTTATTTTATTCTATTCTACAAAGATGTATTATAATGCATTAAACGTACAAAAAAAAAAAATACAAATACAAATTTTTTATATATATCAAAACAGTGTTCTGTTGTTGAGTGTTTACAGTCACCATATTACTCACTTCGGCGAAGTATACCTCAACTTTGAGCAATGCCCGTAAATTTAAGTTATTTTCCAATAATAAAATCAATTTATGTCCTTTTAATATAAATATATAGTCTCGAGAACGTGTTTTAAATCTCACCGTCCGTCACATTTAATGCACTGGGCGTGAGGTATTTCGTGACCAAAGGTAGTGATTACGATTTACGCGACTGTCGCACGAGAAGATATATGTCTCTTAACCATTTAATATGATGAGTAACTTAGGTTTTGCCGTTGTAATTCTATAATTATTTTTACGTTTTAACGAAATTATTTTCTTTTAGACTTATGAAGTTCTTAGGTTTATGATGTAATTATGTGAGATAAGCGATAATAGGGGGAAAAATAATCTGTCATATCTACCCAATTTTGTTATATATTTAACAAATATATCTGACAAGTGAATAACTACTTTATTATAACCTTTAGGTTTCTGGGTCGTTTTACATAATGCCGTGTATTTTTTCGAAATTATCTCGCTAACTCGTATCATATCCTACTTTTGATTCGTATCTACTTGTCTAGACATCATAAATAACTATAGAAATATCTGAAGTATGTCTAATTTTGGGAACAATATATTATATATAGATTTTTTATTATAGTTCACACTTTCTTAAGGTTTTACTCGACCGAAGCCTTACTAGATAACTTGTATTTACGTTTGGTAAACGAGTATTGTTCTTTAATGTATTATTTTTATATATAAAACGTTCAATAGCTGTCGTGGCTATGAGAACACTATTGTAATTACTTGTTTGATTTCTTAAAATTCATTAACTTTAGTGAAGGACTCTGAATAAAACGTGTACCCGGTGGGTGTTTGGCAACTCCGCGGGGTTGTTGAAGTCCTAGGGAATAATGAATAGACCCTAGCGGCAGCATGAGTAACCATAGCAACGGTCGCACCAGTCTCCGCCCTTGTTCTGGCGCCATTAACGACACACGGTAATCCCCTTGGCGGCCATCGGCGGCTATCACTAGTATAGCTCAAATGTTCCTCTTCAGGGCAATCGCAGTCGCAGCGGAGGGTGTATCTCTCCCCATAGTGATGTGGAATTACACTGTTCCACAAATGAGTGCGGGTGCACGATATGAGTCTATTAAACTGCTCATATGACATCAGTACTATCACTATTTTCAATATACCAACGCGCGTTTATTACCTGTGCAATTATTGTTGTCATTGTGTGTGTACTAGTATGTCTCGCGATTTTCGGCTTGTATTTTTACTTAGTGTCGACCCTTAATGACTTGAGTAAATTACTAATGTCGTCCTCTCTGATACACTATTCTTCTCTCATAATGTCTGTAATAGACATAAAAAAATGATGTTATTTACACGTAAAGACAATCGGCCCGTTTTCATATAACATTGTTATGAAATTTAGTTAATATTTCTCATTGTTATTTGTAAAAAGATAACATATTCTTAGGTACTTTTATGCTTTGAAAAAAAAAATTTATGAAGAATATTGGGCAAGAGGAATAATAATATAATGCATTACTAGTGAAGCATGAAGAATAATTATTATTATTCATTATATTCAAGTTTGTGATGAATTTTTAGTTAGGGGTTGTGTAGGTTACTAAGTAATAACATGCACAAAAATAAACATTGTGTTTTCTGTTAATTTCTTAACAAAAATTATTAAATATCTTTCATTTATTTTTTCAACAATGTCCGGGATGATCATTTAATGAACTACATTACTTCATTTTCAGATTGAATTTTTACTATCATAAAATAACGATTGAAATTGTATGAGATTATGTGAATTGTTTTCCCATTATTAAATTTAATATTAAAGGTTGTTGAATTTTCTCATTTTATTTTTGTGCTTATACTATTTAATTTGGTTTGAAAGTGGTTTTTTTTTTTTTTAATTAATTGATACAATTAGCGAAAATTGTTTTAAACGATGCTAACGCATTATTCAGTTGAATTTTTATTTTCATAACATGAATTAATGTTGCGAACAAGTTTATAGAACAGGTCGTCGTGTTAGTGAAGTTATATTTTAGGTAAACTGTTTTACGACCATCATTAAATATTTATCGATTTTTATCGTTGTATGTGCCACAGCAACAACTGAACCTTTTAATGACGTTTTTAAGTTTCAGCAGATAGTATTTATTTAAAAACGTTTTAACCAAATTTATTGCGGAGGCGTTATATTGTAAATGTTTTTTACTAAATTGTCATCAGGACATTAGGCGCCTACAGTGAACATGATCGTGTGTTTATAATTTGACACATCCCCGCAGTGTTGTTGAAATCATTATTTTTATTTCCCAACCAATTTTAAAAACCATCATGCATGTAGCAAGACAACACGGTGTATTGTTATTTAATTATTCGTTTGAAAAAAAGTTTAATTGTGTACGTAATTGGCGTTATATTTCATGGTAAACACTTTTAAATATTGTTTGTTACTTTTCTTCGATATTTTGGATCATAATTAATCTTATAGTTGACTTTTTTAAATTAATGTAATTGAACTTATTGATCGAAATGTACAATCTTACAGCGCTCTATGTGACAGTAATCACATAATGATTAAACTCAATTTTATTATACTAAATGTAAAAAAATTCGCCCACTACTATGTATATCGTTGTGAAAATTTACAGAACTAGTCTAATATATGTTATTGACTAACGCGTATCGCCTTACTTTTTATTGTTGGCAATTTCTTTAATAGTTTTCTCTACTAACGTCTACGGTTATATTATTTTTGTGTTTCAGGTCCAAACGGTTGTCCGCGACGTCGGGGTCGACAGACTTATACCAGATTCCAGACCCTAGAACTAGAAAAGGAATTCCACTTCAACCACTACTTGACTAGAAGAAGAAGAATCGAAATAGCGCACGCTCTGTGCTTATCTGAGCGCCAGATTAAGATTTGGTTCCAAAACAGACGGATGAAGCTTAAAAAAGAGCTGCGAGCTGTTAAAGAGATCAACGAACAGGCCCGACGGGATCGCGAGATCGAACAGGCCAAGAAACAGGAACAGACCAAAATGGATAACGGTGGCGGTGGTATGGTTCACCAGCAGATGTCGCACCATCAGATGCACGAACAGCACAAGCTGCAGATGGGCTTAGACAAGGGGTCCACCGACATGCTCAAAGCCAAAACGTAAATACCCATGCACAAAAAATTATTGTATTTTTTTGTATAAAAAATAAACTCCCTTTCGATTTGAAACATATACGTAATTTACTATTATCTATATTCTTAAATTATTTTAATAATAATAATATTATTAATTAAATTTATTTTAAAAATATTACTTAAAACACTTTATAAAATTATGTTAGAACAAAAAATATATTTTCATATGAAAAAGGACGTACAATATATATATATACTTAATATTTGGTTGCGTGCTCAGTCACACGGTAGTAGTTCACTCTTTTTTTATATATATATATATATATATATTATTTGTTTTATGTTCAGGACAATTTATCAGGACTGCCGGAAACATATTAATATATTAACGTCATAATTAATATTTATAGTTTAATCGAAAAGCCCACCTTTGTCGTTTTATGTAATTTTTAATAATTTATTAAATAAAATTAAATAATGGCTTTTATTAAGTGCTAGTTGCAAATCGATGAACAAACTGTTAATATTTATCATATTTATTTTAGAAATTTAACTATAAATAATGTTTTGTTTCGTTTATTTAAATGAAAGTGCCATTTATAACAAATATACGTAATAAATAAATCGAGATGAAATTCATTTATGGTATAAGAATATTTTTCACTTAAAGTGGAAGACAATTACTTTTGACCTTTTTTTTCTTGTAGTGTGTTTCTTTTCATCACCTGTAATTTAGTTATGTTTCTAATGCATATAACTTATTGATATAAAAATATTAATTATCGATACACACTATATATTCCTCATCGGTTACCTTTTGTGTAGATTGTGGTGTGACTACTATACACATTTTGGGTGATGTTCAATTTTGAGGAATTTGTCGATTTTCGATGTTCCTAACATACAAGTATTACATTTCATTTCCAGAGCAATTATTATAATTCTCAAAACCATTTTATTTTTATCTTTTGTAGACTTCCTTTTTAATTTTGTATACGAAAAGTATAACAATTACAAGTGTTATTTTTGTTTTGTTCAAGTTTTTTAAAGACAGTTACGTTTTATTTTTTTCCCAACTTATTACTTTTCGATTGCTGTTAAATTGCAGTTGTGCCCTTTTTTCACCAGAATGATTTGAAAATCTTATTGTGATCCGTATTAAGTTTTAGTTGTTGCCATATCCAATGAAAACTTTGTTAAGTTCTTTTTCTTTATTTATTATTATTTTTTGTGTTCATATTCTTAGGGAATTTTGTTTTTTATTATATCATTATAAAAATAATTTCGCTATAAGCTTAATATACTTATTATAATTTAATTATTTTACTGTAGGATTATTTAAGTAATATTATTAGTAGTATCTACAAAGTGTAAAAAACTGATAACATTATTATTATTTTTTTATGTTTACCAAGTGAAGTATTTGCCCAAAATAATTTGTAAATATAGAAATTAACGCTTTATTTTAGTTATGTATAATAATATTTAATTTATTTTTACAACCTTTCTTACTTAAATTAAAAAAAAAAATATTGACAACTGCTATATAAGATTTGTTTTTATTTTTATTGATTTATATCCAAAGTCTGTTTTATCTAAATGATTTGTATTTGCCCATGCGGTTTAATTGTATTAATTACTTTCTTGTTTAAACGTTGTGTTAAAATTACAAAATAAAGTCAAAAGGTTCTGTTTTTTTTAAATTTGCTCTTCGTAAAAAAAATGTAATGAAGCTTTTATTTAGATATTAAGGCGTTTGTCCTGCAATTAGACTATAATATGACTAGAGATTGATGTTTTTGAAACAATTATATACGTATTTAAAAATAAATATTATAATGTAAAGTATAGTATACTTAAGTGTTTTTAGTGCATAAATTGTGTTCTCTTAAGATCATTTTTTTAAATTTAAATCGATTGTATCCAACACAACATACGTAATAATCATATAGATTCAGGGTAGGTTTTAAATGAAAATTGTATAGACTGTAAAAAACAAGTATCCATGAATTACCTTAATAGTTCTAAATATTGTTCAACAGTTTTATTGAAAAATAAATATATTTCATTATCATTTGTTCGGGTTTCAACAAAAACAAGTGTCTTTAAATATTAAAACTAAAATACGTAAGCAACTTAATAAATATTATATTCTGTTTACAGAAGACTTGATAATTTTATAATTATTTATTTATAATACTTTAAATATAAGAGACGTTATGTTTCATTTTTTTTTTTTTTTCGTAAACTGTATGCTATGTAGTGTGTTGATCATGTATGTATACATTTAAAATAAGATTGTACTTATAGACTTGTAAATATATACCTAATATTTTTTAATATACGTATAAAGTTAGTGTGAGTCAACTGTAGGCTACTCGTTAACGAATATACTATTATATATAAATATATATATATATTTATAAATGGTAACCTAAATGTTAGTGTTAAATAACTTAATGTGTTGTTTCTAAGTGTACATTTTTTTTTTTGAAATTAAATAAGCTTAATTACAGTGCAATATAACTTTTTTCTTTTATATATATAAATTCATTCAAACTGACTGAAAAAATTGTTTGGCTTAATAAATTTCGTTATGTGTTTTTACGCCATTATTCAAAACCGAGGTCGATAAAAAACACGTATAAAAAAATAACTTGTAAACTGTTTAAAATGTCCCATAAATACTATGAAAATGTTGAATTTTTGAGTTTAAAACTGTNCATAAATACTATGAAAATGTTGAATTTTTGAGTTTAAAACTGTACGTGTTTACATCATAACAACCCTAATTAAAACTATTTCGCAAAAATAAATTGGTATTTTAAATAAGGTGTTCAAAAACACATCTGGGACAGAATATTACTCATAATGACTTGATCATTGTACGACGTGTTATTTTATGAACGCTAATATTGGTTGGTTATTTAACGTGTCCGAAACAGATAAGCTTTGTTGAAAGATATTTTCTTAAGAATTTGCAGAGAATAATATACTACACGTGATGTGTTGCATACTTGTCCAAATTATAAGTTAGTTGACAAACAGTAAATCAGTTATTTAATTTCCGGTGTATTATACTCGCATAATGTAATTATATACAACTTTCAAATTATGATACTAGAACAATTAAAATTTCCAGATTTATGACATCTTTAAAACTAAAATAGAGTTTACATATGGTGCTTATTATTTTTACATTATCCAAAAAGTTTTTATAGCGTAAGCACACCTTTAATGGTTTGTCTTAATCGTATCGATAAAATGCATGTAACCGTTATAATAATTAAAATGCAATTTTAAAAATCGTGTCTTGTTCACTCAAATCTTACCGCGTATTATAAAACGCGTCTAAAGAATTTTATAATGAATATATTTTGTTTTATAACCTCTAGCGTCTTCTTATTATGTGTTGGAAATTACTCGTTAAATTGACTCATAACTTTTATGTTATTTGTTCAACAACCACTATTTAATTTTTATTTACTATACAAAAATAGGTAGTTAGCTATAAACTTGTCATACAACACCATTTTGATGTTAACTATTTCTAATTTTGAATAATACATTTCCATAAAATGTTTTATTGTCGGATACCTACATAAAAGTAAAACAATTTTTATTAGTGAGCGTAGTAATTTTCAGTAAAAAAAAATCAAGGTGAGTAATGACGTGTATTTTTATTAATGAAGTTGGAAAACAATGTCTTTAGAGACCTAATGTTTTTATTCCAATATTTTTTGCTTTAAACTGTTTGGATCATAAAAGTGTATGAATTGTTATGAAACATGACTTTCATACTTTTCTAATGTATTTCAAAATTAAAATCAACGATTTCAATTGTCAGTATTTAATCACAAGTATTTTTTTATAAATACATATTTGTACATTTTAAATGGCATCGTTCCTAACGTTCTTAAGTCTTGTGTTTAAATACAAACAATGACCTGGCAATACTACATTTGATGACACCATATTGATTAAATGTGGAGTGTTGTTCACACTTTTTACGTTAACTAATTACATTTATTGAAAATTTGAGATAGTACTTTTCGCATTTTGTTTAAACCACCGTATCTTGTAGTCTAACGCCGTACTAAAAAATCTATACTCGTAGCTCTCGCGGAATGTCCGCATATACAAAACACTCGCTGCAGTCATTTTGGCGGCATGTTTTTTTTTTTTAACCGCCCTCTCCTTTTGGTTACGTAAACGCCTGTATCGTTGTGAGTCCCGGTCGTCGAAAAATCTATAAAAGTGACTGGCCCGGGGGGGAGGGGAGAGAAACGCGGGGTAACCCGGCCACCATTCAAAGCGGCGTGGCATGTATAAAGCACAGAATCCGAGAGTTTTCTTGACGGCGACACCGTTAAAGTACTAACCGGAGGTTGAAGGGAGCAGAAATGAAAGAAAAAGAAGGGGAAAAACGCCCGTTCCCCGATCAATAACGTCGAGCGTTAAGGGGTTAGTACACGGGCATGGCTTCTACACTCGGTACCTATGTAAGGGTAAAACGCCCCGCGCGTACACAGCACAATCCTGTCGAAGAAACAACGGCGGGGCCGAGTAGGCGGGGAGGGGTATTTGGCTGGAGAGTGAGGTGATGAGCAGCGCGGGGTTAAACTTTTATGGAAAACGGTTACGCCCTGCGGAATGTGCTCATAACCTGGACCCCGGGCGGTAAAGCGCAATTTTATCATACCGAATTGATCGTATTGCCCGGGAAAACGTTCCAGACATCGGTTTCCAAATGGGTTATGCTGCAATATACAAAACGTAATGCGTTTCAACATGACAACGGCACATAAACCCAAAATCGTATCTGTGACATATTGTATGCGGGGGAGGGGGGACACGAGTCAATGTAAGATGTCGAAAAAAGTCTTTTCGAAAATACCTATGACAAAAGAACCGTCGAAGTTATTTAGCAATCTAATTCACAAATATTTTTATCGAAATTTAACTGCTCTCTTATAAGTAATCATTATATTGTAATTATATTATATTATAGTGTACCGATAATCTTTATGATTAACACCTTGTAATGTTCGTTATGTTTCGAGTTCATTCGGGAAATGAAATAAAATAAATGTTAATTTTTATGCACTTTTAAGAGCTGAGTATTTATTGGTGCGTATCTCTAAAATGTTTAAGTTTTAATTTATACGTGCCACTACGATAACATTAAATGTTTGTAGCTAGTTAAATAATTTATTCAAATAATCGTCAAGATCAATTTTTTGAATACCCCAGAAAGAAAACTATTAGTTACCACCTTAGTGCAATTAATAAAAAACTCAAATAATTTTATTATATCATATCATGTAAAAATAAATAAATTATGGTCTTTAACGAAGAAAACACATCGTTAGAAATTCCATCTCGAATAGCGTAAAAAAATAATAATGCTTGAAATATGAATTGAGATTTAATAACAAACCAGTAAAATTTAAAAATACTATCCGAATACAAAATGACAGCAGACAGACCCCCTGAGATGTTCTATGGAAATCTAAGGACATTATCGATTTTACACTTGCAAAATGCATCTGTATTGAAAAAGTAATAACTGTAGTTATTATGGTGTACTATAAAAAAAGAACGCATTGAAGTCATAATTTCATTTCTCGACGTCACGATCCTATCAATCATTTGGTAACTGACGACTCGAATAGAACACACATGTTGTTGCGCAATAACAACAAAAGCTGTTTTAAATATAAACATAAAATAATAATTAAGTGTGAACATTTCCCATTTTATTTTTATTTTTTTAATTTAAATTGCCAACTAATTAATTCATAATCTTAGCTAAGGTTACGTCGTTATTAAATTTAATTAAAATTATCAATTTGAAAAAAAAAAGTAAGAGATATGTTTCCATAAACTATTACATTTATTTAAAATAATCATCTGTTTTAATACCATTTACG